ATAATATTTTAATTTTTAATTATAATATTTTTAACTATTAACTATAATATTTTTAATTATTAATTAAATATTAATTAGATATAATATTTTTTAATTATTAATTTAAAATCAAAATTAATTTTTTTGTCTTGGTAAAAAATATTAAAAAAATTTTTTTTTAATATAAAATTTTAATATAATTTTAGATTAAATTTTATATTAAATTAGTTTAGATTAAATTAAATTATATTGTTATACAGGCTTATAAGCCGCAGCAAACTGCAGCAAACCTGGGGATGTGACAAATAAGCTGCATAAGCTGGCTCATTTAGAAACACTAGTTATAGGATGTTATGTGCATTTACTTTGATCTAATAAAGATACCCGCAAGGCTGCTAATATATTAAAAAAAAAAATACAAATTTATCAATATTATAAATTCATATTTATATAAAAAATTATATAATTTACTACACCAATTATTTGTATCTAATATAATATTAAAAACTATATTACAAATATAACTTTGGCATCTATATTTTTATTTACAAATTATTTTTAAAACTATATAATAAATTACCAATCTAAAAATTATTTTTAACAATAACTAACCAATCAAAATCGAATCTATTTATTATATAACTATGTGGCATACCAAGGTGGCATTGTGATATAAGTTTTAGCTAGTATTCTGCAAAAGATCTGGTCCATCTGCCTGCTCGCCCAGATCTGTGAGCAGACCGGGTTCAGACCTTTATTGAGATTTGTCCAGTCCGGTTTAAAGTTATAAGCTAGCTTTTTTGATTGGTCAAAATGTTTAGAAATACCAAACCAAATCCAAGTTTTGGATCTGATTCGTTTTTCAGACCGGATCTGAATCTTTAAAAATATCTGCCCAGTCTGATTTATGCGGAACACTAGTTTTAGCAAATGGCATGCCAAATGGCATACTAAATTTTTTGGCTGTGCCATTTACCCTACTCCTGGCCCGCACTAAACCAATTTTGGCCTGCATTATTGATGATCTTGGCCAGCATTAGTTGCAAAAAAAGGGTGCTTAATTTCGAAAGTCTACGGTATCTCAAAATTTCGCTTATAAAATCACCTTTGGGGCTCTAACAAAAAAATTCTTTGTTAAATTTTGCATATATTAATGTTTAAATAAAATCTCAGACCTCAATCTAACCCTAAAGTAATCAAAATTTACATCTTATTTTTATAAAAATTTGTTTTTTTGTTTGTTAATATATATGGTGTTCAACACCATAGGTGCGTTTTATAATTATTGTTTGTAAATAATATAATTTGAACCAAAAATCACAATATAAAGTTTTTATTATTGCATAATATGTTTTATTTTAATCTATAGCATTTGTTGTATATTAAACTACGTAGTAATAATATCGTTACTAAAACAATATTAAAAAAAGATAAGCAGCACTTTATACATAACTGCACTGATTTTGTAATAATTACAAATTTGCTATATATTGTAAAGAACCAAAGTTAGGTTTTACATTAAAAAAAAAAGGGTTTCAACCAACAATTTGGATTATTATTTTAGTCACACCACACGAATTATTAGATATAAATTCTCTACAAATTCGATTTGTTAACAAGTATTAACTTGTGTAGCTACATTAAAATCAAATAATTAAAGGTTAAACCCCGAAATCTGGTAATACTATCGCTATTATTATATATGGTTATGACATAAATCGAATTGATCTGAAGACTATATACCAAAACGTGAACAATTAACTGCAAATTTACAAAGTTTTTTTACGTGTAATATTTTATAAAATAAATTCTACTTAAACCCGGATAATTTTATGTCTATGATGATGAGTAAAAATTTAAATATTAACTCACGTTGAAAAATTAAAAAACAAAAGTCTACCATGTACATATATACACATATATTAACAGAATAACTTAAAAGATATGTTTATGAATCTTTTTCCCAACCTCTAATTTCAGGTACAGCCACATTCTTTCCTTTATAATTCACAATCCCCCGAATGGACCGACCTGAGATCGAGGCAACTGGTTTCGCCATTGGAAATCCAGATAATGCTTTATATTGTTCTTCACTCCCTTCAACTAAAGTTTGAATTAGCCCCTTACACAGCGGGCATTTGTACTTTGTATCAGGAACTTCAACCAATTCTTGATATAATTCAGGTGTAAGAGCCGAATCACATCTAGAGTGAATCCATCTATCACATTGATCGCAACAAATCATATCCTTGTCGTCATCACTTTCTTGTTCATCTTCAGAGTATGTTTTGAGACATATAGGACAAAAACGATCTTGAGAGAAATTGTCTTTACATTTGCCGCAAATAGTTGCCAAATAAATTGGATAATTTACATTTTCAGGTTTTGCATTAATATGATGATAACCACTTGCCGCATCATTTAGAGACGCAGCTTTTTCATCACATGAGTCACATTGCGCACAGAGTGAACATAGCCAAGGACCTAAAAAAAGAAATGACATCATCAATTAATTTAAATATGTATTGTTTGAAAAAAACAATTATGAAATATACCTTGTGGTACTTCCGTTACTTTTGGTGAGCTACAATCAAGATGCCAACCACGGTCACAATCATCGCAAATTAATAGTGTCGCTTCATCACCAGATGTTCTACATACAACACATGTTTTACAATCGTTACATAGCCATTGGTAACTTTCCATAGCTACCATAAGCCTTGGGGTAGTGAGGGAGAGACAAAGTGGATGATATTTGCGATGACATTGGGAACATTTGATAGTATGAGTATTTGAACATGGTGCACCGTTCACAGGTGGTGCGATTGTTGTGGGAAGAGTAGTGGAAAAACATATTGCACAAGCATTTTCCGGAAGAACAAGAAAAGACTGCGTATTCGATGAAAAAGCTGGTACAACTCTGGAAGACTCGGCAGTTATATTTGGCTAGTGTTCAATATGAGGTTAATTTTTTAGTATTTGTTTAGTAATACCACTTTTTTGGTTAATATCTTAATTAAATAATAGGTACCATAACTGAATCCATTTGAACAACCTCTGATTTGGGCTTTATAGAAGATTTTCCAGGTACATTGGAGGAATCTTTGTGATACATACATCTTTCCCCATCAGCGGTTACAGCACGCCTACATGGTTGTCCAGTTGTAGCAGTTATGACTCCACAGATAAATTGAGGATTTGCTTTACTTGACGTATACTGTGGCCCAATTTTTCCGATCTGGTTCAGATTCTGTATATAAATTAATATTTCTTAAAATAAATGATATATAAAACAAGAAATTAATAAATATATATACTTGATTAATGGATGTTTGAGATAAAATCGAATTTTTATTGTACGAGTTATAAGGTTGATCATCATTCGTAACGGTTGCTCTAGGAGGGTTATAAGGTACCATAGGTGTTGCCGTTTTGGAAGGATCAGGTTGAAATCTTGAACTATGCCTATTAAAATATTGTTCATAATAATAAAGTGTAAATTTATATTCTTTATAAATGGCAAAAAAATATATATATACATACAATGGATATGAGGTTTGGATTTGATTTCTCATTAATGCAATAGGATGCTTATTTTCTTCCTCGTAACGGGCAATTTCATCTTTCTTTTTAATATCAACAACAATTTTCTTTATATCTTCTGGTAAAACATCCATGACCTCTGATTCAAGTGTCCGAAGTGGATTTGCAGGAAGTGGATAAAACTTAATTTCTGGTTCTATAATTGTAGTAGATGTATTATTTCTTGCCGGAGAAGACAATGGAAATGGTGGTGATATCATTTCCACCCGAATTCGCGTTGATTGTGTATCAAGAGGGACTTGCTCGATGTTAGTGTGAGGATCATAAAATTTAAGACTCTCATGCCGACATATTTTCATTCGTGTGTTAAATTCTCTAGAAGAAAGCGCGAGCTGGTACATCCAGCTATTTGGTTCATTAATAATAATGTGACTAGTATTGGAACGTCTTGGCAGGACTTTAATAGTGCTTTCCGCCTCCGAGTCTTTACCACTTGGATCATCATCAAATTTAATCGAAGATTCAAAATAATCATCTCGTCGCCGTTTACCATTTTGAATAATTCTCGAACCAAACATTTTAAAAATTGACCTTGCAGATACAATAGCAATTGGTCTACTTCGAAAAATTGTCGGTAAAATTCCTGTAGAAATGAGATAATCGCGCTCTTCATCGGTTACAGTTATTCTTTTTAATGATTGATTTTTCGTAAAGAACAAATAACTATCACGAAATCCAAGAACTTTGGCCGGATCCATAGAACACATATACCAAGTGTTTCCACGAGTTGGCAATTGAAAAACTGGTACCTTAAACTTTCGGCCTATATGGACATTACGAATAGCAAATTTATTTCTTTGTGTAACAGCAATGTAACGAATTTACTCAACCATTTAATATCTTACCTCCGAGAAGCTCTCCATCTTTAGTAATTTTTTGCTCTCCTTTTTCATCCAGTATCTCTTCATCCTGATTCTCTTCGTTGGCTATTACTTTGCTTTCCGATGGCTGTTTATAATCAATATTCGG